GAAGCACACCATGTCCTTCAGTTTCGCTTGTGTGCAAAACTAAAGCTCCTGTTAGGGAGAAAAAAGCTCCATCATCTGAAGACGTATTTGGAACTGAAGCCATGGATGCTGCGTGTTATTCCTTAAAACATTGAACTTAATATATATTTTAAAACACCAACGGACCGTGAAACGGAGTCACCCAGATGATAATTTGAACCACTTACTTGGGCTGTACATGTAACTTTTCTTCTGGCTTCCCTAATCTGACCTAGACATTGGCTGGCTTTCTGTTTACTTCTTGCGCTGTCTCTACTGGGCAGAACAGAGGTATCAGTAGTTAGCGCAGCGTCAGCAGGCCCGGCACCTAGCAGAATCTCTAGGTCGTAGGTGGACTTTCTTGGAGTTATCATCACTCTTTTAGCAGCCTTCTTCCGTGTTTTGAGTTTTAGATTTATAGTCAATATAGTTAATCCACTTGCAAACCCACCTCTGAGGCCATAATGCTGTACTCTTGTGCAGTTCGTTTTTAACAGCCAAGTACAACCTTCAATTATTTTACAATTGTGTTGATGATGAGCATAGCTTGCTTTGTTCAGGAAAATGACAATCCTTTTCTAGAGAAATTTATACTTTGATTATTCCCTTTGTGAAAAAAAAAGACTCATATTCATTTTGTGTGTAATTTTTGTTTTTAAATTATCTTAAGTCTTATGGTCACATAATTTACAAACGTTCTTCTTCGTTTTTTTTTTAAATGTTTTTAAAATCAATTATTAAACATTTTTCAAGTATTAGAGCTTTAGTTTTTTAGAAGTTCTGTGTAATTCCTTTTCAGATCATCTTGGTCATCTTCCATTATCTCTCTTTGGTTTTGTTGTTATTTGTTTTGAGAAAGGGTCCTACAATGTAGGCCAGGCTGCCTTTAAAGGGATAGCAATCCTCCTTCCTCAGTCGCTCAAAATTCTGGGCTTAGTCTTATTTCTTTTCAAATTCTATTAGCTGTATCAATTTTCTTGACCATATACATAGTTAAAGCCTTTGTGGGTTTGTTTCTGCTAATTATTGTACTTTGTGGCCACTTTCCTTCTGTGTTTTATGATTTATTTTTATAAGTGTATATGTGTATTTGCACACATGTGTGGGTGCCTGTGTGTGTGCACAGGTGTGCATGAATGTATGACTGTTCATGTAGAGAACAGAGATTAATGTCAGGAGTCATTCTCCGATGTTTTGCACTTTTTTTATTCTTTTTAATTTATGTAGGCTCTCCTGCTGCCCCAGGAGCCTGTTGATTTAGTCTATCCACCCAGCTGGTCTACTAACTTCTCTGAGGGAGCCTCTTTGCCTCCTAGGCACTTTAGGCCACCAGCGCTGACAGACATTACATGCGGGCTGGGCATCTGAACTCAGTTCCTCACACTCGTGCACTGAGGGTTTGACCCGCTGAGCCATCTCCCTAGCCACGTGATTTGTGATTTTTGACAGTGACTTAGTAATTCTTGGCATTTGTCTGTTGGATTTTTTTTTTTTTAACCTAGACTTGAGGTAACTTCCTTCTCAGAGGGTTTGGGCTAACTTTCCCCAAACCCTGCAGGAACACTACCAATCTGGCATCACCTTAAGCATAGTCTCAGCTTGAAGTTTTTTTGTACCATGTGAGTGGTGTAAATTCAGGTGAAAGGGTTATCTTTCTTGGTTTTGTTTTGGTTTGGTTTTGGGGTTTTTTTTTTGTTTTTGTTTTTTTCAACACAGGATTTCTCTGTGTAGCTTTGGAGCCTGTCCTGGGACTCTTTCTGTAGACCAGACTGGCCTCGAACTGACAGAGATCCGCTTGCCTCTGCCTCATCTTTCTTGTTCTTAATGTGTTCTACCACTGGGGCCCTCACGGCTCTCACACCAGGCAACCACCTCCTGCTTCTGGGCAGCTCCTCCAGCACCTTCTGCTGACAGGAGCTTCCCTGGCATTGGTGTGGATTGTCGGTTCCTCAGACTTCACTTGCCTGTGGTCAGCTTTCCCCTGTACTCCAGAAGGTATGACTCAAGGACTCGTCACTCACCTTTGCCATGCAATGAGTCATGGCTATAACCTCGTCAGCAAGTTCTCAAACCTGGGACAGAGTTAAAAAGAAGTTTTTCCGGGATGTTTTGTCCCATTGTAAGGCTGGGTGGTATCTACTGTGTCTATATTCTTTTTATAATGATTTCTCACTAGCAATTTCTTACTAGTCAGATCTCCTGTTTCAGTTAATAAGTCTCTATATTAACTTTCTCTATTCATTTTGCTATGCTTTCTTTCCCCTTCTGGTTCTACACTAAGATATCTTTATCTCATAATCTCCTTCCCCGTGAAAAATCTTTCATCATTATTCAGTTTTGTTGCACTGGAATGGACCATATGAAAATGATATTTTTGCTAGATATGGTAGTACGTATCTATAATCCCCAACAGGCTGAGGCAGGAGGGTAACGAATTTGAGGCCAGCGTGGCTTACATAGCAAGTTCAAAGACTGCAGTATAAAGCGATCCCTCCTCAACCTTCTATTTACCTTTTTTTTTTTTTTTAACTATTTTTGTAGGTAAGAAATAGTTCAATATCAGCAATCTGAAATAATTCAAACTAATATTTTTGGTGTAGTTCCTCCTGTATATCTCTAGCAGCACTTATCTCACTAATTGAAAATATCAATTTTAAAAATAATGTCACTTACTGTAAGATTGCAAACTCTTGGGAACAATTTTTAATCTTTTATAGCTCATGCTTAAATGCCTAATCCAATTCATAGTTAATTACTATATACTCAGAAAAAAAATATGCTTGTTGAATTAACTGATTGTGGGAAGTCATGTAGTCTCTTCCATTTTAAACTTCTTTGTCTTCTAACTGGGATCATTAACACCTGCTCTATCTAATGTTAAAGTTCTTAAAATGGACTGAATGGATATTTGTTCCTACTTCTTTAGTATATTAAAGGCAGATCACATATCATAATACTAAATGTGTTGCTTCAAGTAGGAAACCAATCTAAGACTCATTGTTTAAATACTATGATTTGATTTGTCTTTTCTTTGTTTTTTGTTGTTTTGGTTTTTGAGACAGGGTCTCTCTGTGTAACCTTGGCTGTCCTGGAACTCACTCTGTAGACCAGGCTGGCCTCAAACTCACAGAGATCCACCTGCTCCTGTCTCCCCAGTGCTGGGATTAAAGGCATGTGTCACCACCATCCGACATTTGATTCTTCAGATATAAGTAATTGTAGAATTACTTGAAAAACACACAGTGTATTTAAACATAACATATACTAAAAATCCTACTACTTATAGATATGTCTACCAATATTTCATATTATTATTGTTGTTGTTGCTGTTTTGGTTTTCTGAGACAGGGTTTCTCTGTGTAGTTTTGGTGCCTGTCCTGGATCTCGCTCTGTAGACCAGGTTGTCCTTGAACTCACAGAGATCTGCCTGGCTCTGCCTCCCGAGTGCTGGGATTAAAGGTGTGTGCCACTGCCACCTGGCTTCATATTGTTATTTTTAACACTTTGGTGAACATTGTGAAACCTAGAATTAGATAAAAACTATATAGTTATGAAAGCTGTAATCTGCCCTTTCCAATCAAAAGACTGCTCTAAGCATTTTACTCTATCTTTAAATACTCTTTGAAAAACAAGTCTTTAGTCATTGAGTAACATTCTATTATACAAACACCAGCAATAATTTATCCAACTAATTATATAAAATATACAACTTATTTTTTAATTTTTGCAAGTACAATGGTATTAAGTCAAACATTCTTAGAAATATTTAAGTACATCCTTTATTATTTCCTTAAAAGAAATCTGTGGAAAGATTTGCTGGGTCAAAGATATGAACATTTCCATGTTGCTTTGTTTTGTTTTTAGCTGTTGCCAAATTTCTGCCCAGAAATCATACACTAATGTGCATTCCCAAATGAGAAAACATTTGAATGCCCACTCAACAAGGAGATGGGTTAGAAAGAAAATTAACAATTTAGACATTGGGAATATTGCTTTTGTTATATTTCTTTTATTTTTGTAACTTATACACATTTTTTATATTTACCAGTCTATATTCTTTTTGATGTTAGGTCTCCATATGTACTTGATTTTTTAAAAATTTCAAAATGATTGAAAATATCCTTTCTGGAGTGGGCATTATATTTGAAGAAATCAAATCAATGTGTTTAGAAATTAATAATAATTATGGAATTAACATATTTTACTTTTGATTTTTAAAGTTTTATATATTTTGGCTATGAAAATTTATGTAAAAGTTTTCTTAATTTCCTGTGAGCTTGTGAGATTTTTATATAGTTATATAGTGAAGTATTTTTTTCTGTTTTGAGACAGAGTTTTAAGCTGTAGCCCAGGCTGGCCTGGAACTTACTTCTCTAAACTTGCAATAGTCTTCCTGACACCACCTCCCGGGTGCTAGAATTACAGGTATGAGCTCCTGTACCAGGATAGTCCAGTATTTTAATTATGCATTGAAACGCAATTTTTCTTAGTGTTTCTTGCATTTATTTTTTTTTTTAATTTTTGAGATTATACAGTTATACCATTTGCCCCCTTCTCTTTCTGCCCTCCAAACTCTCCCATTTACAACAACAAATCCAGCTTCTCCTCCCACTGGGTGACTGAGGCAAACTTGTTTTGCTACAACCCAAGAGGAAGGAGAAGATCAAATGTAGTTTGGGGAAGGCCAGAACCATCAGGGGTGGTAAAGGAGAAAAGTCCAGGGGCTTGGGAGGACTGTTCAGGTAACTGGGCCAAAGGCACTACTGCCCTTTTCCTGCTAGGATCCTCCCAGTTCTCTCCAGTCCGGCTGGACAACCCGCAGCTCCCAGAGGGAGGGCAGGTCTGGGCTAGAGCGAGTTTCAGGCAGGGGGCTGGAGGCTGATCACAAAGGCTTGCATTCCAGGGAGATAACAGTGGCATGGGCCTTGACCTCCCGTTTGCTTGCTTGTAATTCATGCTGATGCCTGTCAACTTCTGGATGACATCCTTGGAACTAGCATAGACCTTTTTGCTCTTAAGAGGGACACTCTCAGGGGCCCAGATACCCACCAGGTCCTCCTTCTTGCTCTCCTTGGTCTTGTAGGTTGTATCGTAAAGGGCATAGCGACAGTCCTTGTCTGGCAGCTTTTGACAAAGGTGAGTGAGGGTCATCCAGAGTTTGCCCTGCATCACCTACCAGGGTCTTTGTGCCCTCCTCCTTCTTCCATCACTCAAGCAGTTCTTTGTTTCTGCTGGGATCAATGACTTCTGCATCTTCATGTTACCATACATCTTGGTGACACCATAAGAGACAGATATACTGGAGGCCATGTTTCTGGAAGCAAAGAGAGACAAGGGGAGTTCACTGAAGAACTGAGCCACTGCCAAGATCTGACTTGATTTGTTGTTTTCAAAACCAACCTTGTGGTAAGCAACTACTGTACCTGGCACCATACACGGCTGTCCCCAAGACCAGGATTCTGAGTGATTTTGAGTGTTTTCCATTTCACATTCTGGTTTTAGCTGATAGTCCAGCAAAGGTGATTCTGATTGGTAGAATATATACACCAAGTTCAACAGTATCAGCTTATTTTATCATAATCTTAAAATTAAATTAATACAAGCTATACTTTTTTTTTTTTTTTTGGTTTTTCGAGACAGGGTTTCTCTGTGTAGCTTTGTGCCTTTCCTGGAACTCACTTGGTAGCCCAGGCTGGCCTCAAACTCACAGAGATCCGCCTGGCTCTGCCTCCCAAGTGCTGGGATTAAAGGCGTGCGCCACCACCGCCCGGCTAAGCTATACTTTTTTATGTAAGAATATTAAAATTAAGAGCAAGGTAACCTGACAGCGAATTGATAAAAAGAAGTCAAATGTCACTTTGCTAGATTGATACTGATGAACACGAAGTGCTTGGAGAAAGAAGATTTGGATGTCAAGTGAGCAGAATTCCTGAACAACTGACATTTCCATATACCATCTTGATGTAGTCAATATTTACAATAGAAACCTACCACATGCAAGGCAGTCCTGGAGGTACTAATAGGATGATACACTATATGGGAAACTCTGGAGTTCACAGCGGTGGACAATCTGGTATTGGAAATGGGACTCAGTCTAGAGGATCTTAAACATTCAACTGAACTAAAACATCAGGGTGATACAAAAACAGAATGTAGTCATTGTCTTGGTTTAATTTGTCTAAAGTAGAAAACTTGAAATCCATCAGATCTAGGGTTGTCCAAAAGTCGAGCTTTGCTGAAGGCAGCGTGGCATGTTCCAGTGTATTGTGCCTCCAGGATTCAGTCTACATTCTGTCTTACGTCTTGAAATAATGTGGAAGTTATGCCACCCAGACATCTTTCAAATGCTTATCTAGGATTTGACATCTAAAAATATTCCCTGGATCCAAGTGGTTTCAGAGTCTGATAGAGTAAACAGGGACTTCTTTTTAAAGTGCTTACATATAAAAATTACTGCCCAGGATAATTTAATTTGATGCGTCTGGCAAAATAAGTTATTACTATGGAGTAAAACAGGTGGTATACTTTTCCTTCTGAATTTCATAGTCTTGCTTTTTTTTTTTTTTTTTTTTTTTTTTAAAGATTTATTTTTTTATTTTGTATATAGCATGTATAGGTCAGAAGAGGGCACCATATCTCATTACAGATGGTTGTGAGCCACCATGTGGTTGCTGGGAACTGAACCTAGGACCTCTGGAAGAGCAGTCAGCGCTCTCAACCTCTGAGCCATCTCTCCAGCCCCATAGTCTTGCTTTTAAGGCTTTTTTTTTTCTTGATTTTTTTTTGAGACAGGGTTTCTCTGTGTTGCTTGGGAGCCTGTCCTGGAACTTGCTCTGTAGACCAGGCTGGCCTTGAATTCACAGAGATCTGCCTGGCTCTGCCTCCCGAGTGCTGGGATTAAAGGCATGAGCCACTACTGCCTGGCTAAGGTATTTTTAAAATTAAAAAAAAAAAAAAAAACAAAAAAACCCAAACATCTTTTGTAGCAGGAGTCAAAAATTATGTCAAATTACATGCTAAAGAAGTGTCTATAATCATGTAAATATGTAAAATATGCTTTTATGGAGAATTGTGTTGTTTTCATTCACTTCATCTTACTTATTGCTCATAGAATCTACTCATTATAGCAGAAGAAATAAAACTCCATTTCTCTTGCAATGTATATGACATACACATCATCTACACTAGTCCTACACACGTCCTTATTATTTTAAAGCAGGGTCTGCAGACTCACTAATCATCAATTGACAGCAGTCCTGGGCATATAAGGCTGTGTGGTATCTCATTCTTGCTCGTCCTCTGAAATGGGATTCCTTACTCCTTGCTCTTTCTCCTCCTTTGAACAAGCCATGGATGACTTTCAGCCTGTTCCAAACTGATAACACCCAGGAGGCATAACAATATCATGCACAAGAATCAGATGCCTGAATTTAGCCTGCTCCCTGGCGCCATGGAATTGCTCTGTGCTCTGCTCACCTCTACCTTCTTTCCACATCAAAACCAGGTGACAGCCTTTTCCCTAGAGAAGGCTGCTTCCATGGAGAGGTTCTTTCAGGTGCCCTCTGCTTTCCTTTGCTTTGTTAACTTTTGACAACCTCCTCAGTAAAATCCTCACCTCTTTGCTCCACGAAAAGAGACAATATTCTTGAAGGCAACTTGGAAACTAGACACCAGGATATCATTGCAGCCCATTGCATCATTATGAGCTCCCGAAATGAACAACTCAGACTGATGAGCAGTGCTCATGGTATGTGCTTCTGGAAAATGAGGAGTTCACGGTGTTGCAAATAAAGTCATCTTTCTTCTTCTAAAAATATTCATAGCAATTGAGGAATTTAAAAGTCTATAAAAATGGAAAATAGAGGCTGGGCGGTAGTGGCACACGCCGTTAGGCCCAGCACTCAGGAGGCAGAGCCAGGCAGATCTTTGTGAGTTTGAGGCCAGCCTAGTCTACAGAGCGAGATCCAGGACAGGCACCAAACTACACGGAAAAACCAAAAAAAGCTAAAGGAAACTGTGACAATTCAAGTCTACTCGGTATCCTGGACCTGAGAAGAAACATTTGTAAAAAAAAAAAAAAAAGGAAAATAGAAAAGTTATCCTAGTTGGGAGGTAGTGACACCTGCCTTTGGAGGATCTCTGTGAGTTCAAGGCTAGCCGGGTCTACATAGCAAGATCCAAGACACCCAAGGCTACTCTGAAAAACTCTGTCTCAAAAAACCAAAGAGAGGAAGAAAGAGTGAGAGAGAGAAAAGTTACCCTAAATATGGCAATCCAATCAGCCCTTTTTTCTTCCCGCCTTTCGTATGGTCCTGTTCTGTCTACAGCGCTGTAGCCTGCCTTTGTCAGTTAATATTATAGTATGATACTGTTTATGGTACTATATGGCCTATTTTATTTTATAAAAGATTTTGCACAACAAAAATCATAACACCATTAGCCCTCTAACCATTTGAAGGAGCTCAGAAGTCCTCTTGAAAATGCATCTATACTAATTAAACTTATCTTTATTCAAACTATTAAAATGTAAAACATATACATTAAATATGTTAATTATATGACACAGGAATTATATCTCAATGAACTTTTTATTTAAAAATATAAAAAATAAACAAATTATTCTCCTTAAAGTAATTAAATATCTACATAATTTTATATGTAAATATTATTATATGTTGTATATTATACTATAATACCTGATATAATATATAAAATACACAAGTATATATATATATAATATATATGTATAGCGCATGTGTGTGTGTGTGTATTTTAAACAGGGTTTCACTATGTAGCTCTGGCTAACTTAGAACTCACTCTGTAGATCAGACTTGCCTGAAACTCAGAGATCTGCTTGCCTCTGTCTTGTAAGTGCTAAGATTAAAGGTATATACCATCATGTCCAACCAAAAATAATTATATTTTTAATGATGTGTAATATAGCAGAATAAACCAAAATATTTTTTGTATTTTGTCATTTGTATTTCGCCCTGTCTAACTTAGATGTTAGCCTCAAGATTTCATTTTTTCCTTCAGCTATATTTGCAAAGCCGAGCAGAAGTTCCATTAAACAAGTTTGCTCTTAATTTGAACAAAAATCTAAACTTACAGAGGTTATGCAAAATACCCCAGACACCAACAGGAGGCAAGAACACTCTTTAAGGCAGTGTTTCTCAACCTGTGGGTCGAAACCCCTTGGTGGGGGGGCACTGAACGACCCTTTCACAGAGGTCAAATATCAGATATCCTGCATATCAGATATTTACATTATAATTCGTAACAGTAGCAAAAATCACAGTTATGAAGTAGCAACAAAAATAATTTTATAGTTTGGGGTCACATCACATGAGGAATTGTATTAAAAGGTCACAGCATTAGGAAGGTTGAGAATCATTGCTTTAAGGGTTTCGAGGGGAGAGAGGAGAGGGGAGGAGGTAAGTAAGTAGGGAGAACTAAGAGATAAAGGTGAAAGAACTCTGGGGCAAGTGGCCCTGGATTGAGGTCCAGGCAGGCTGTGTTCCAGGTACAGACACTACCAGCTTCAGCAATGCCTCCAAATTGCAACAGCCCCGAGGCCAAAAGCCCTTCTGAGCAGGCTCAGGTACCAGCAGAAACCAGTGTTGCCTCTAGGCTAGCCAGAATGGCTCCTTAAGAGCTTTGTGATCTCAAGGCGATCAGAAATTTTACATGAATGCATCCAGGGTTGAGGAGTCTCAGTCACCCCAGATTGAATCTCTTGGCCTGAAGGAACACGGATGTGGATTCTGGTTTACAGATTGAAAAGAAAAAGTTTTTTGTTTTGTTTTGTTTTGTTTGTGTGTGTGTTGTTTTTTTCTACAAATGTTCACTGTCAGTATAGAAGTATTGTAATCATAAAGATTGCAATCATTTTCTCAATCGCTTCATAAATGATGTTACTAATCAATTTTTCTTTTTCTTCCTTCCTTCCTTCCTTCCTTCCTTCCTTCCTTCCTTCCTTCCTTCCTTCCTTCCTTTTTTTTCTCGGAGCTGAGGACTGAACCCAGGGCCTTGAGTTTGCCGGGCAAGCGCTCCACCACTGAGCTAAGTCCCCAACCCCACTAATCAATTTTTCAGAGGGAGTTCCTCCCCAACCACACACAGTGTAGGGTACTGATGTGTTTTAAATCTTGAAAGGATCTTGGAGATCTAGCATAAGTCTTTTATGTCATAGATTAAAAGGTTGAACGAACCTTCAGAATGCAAAACAAATCCTCCAGAGCCACCGACTTGCACCTAGGGTAGAATCAGGGATCTTTACTCCTAGGCAATGTCTGCCCGCTTTCTTGAAGTAGG